AAGTTTAAGACTTTAAGTAGATGACATAAATATCATTGCGCTGAATTCTTTTTTGCCAAATTCTGACAAAAAAGAATGACAAAACTTGGGGAAGCTGGATTCATTTAACAGCCCCAGGGATTTGCTGCTGTAAGAAATGTTGTATAATCAGGTCAGATTACAACCACAAGGACGAATAAACAGAAATTCTGGTTCCAATTATAGTCCTCAATCAAGAACTACCTGTAACTGCTGGTAAATGAGACTCAAGGACATCATGTCCCAATCTCACTGTTTTAAAAGCCTGAATGGGAAACACAGCACTAAACTGTACTATAACAGTCAGCTGAGTAAGTGTAAGGGAGTAATGTATTACGTGGTGTTTAGTCTGCAGTTAGGGTAAAATGATGGGCATCTGGCAGAAACCGCAGTGATGTTAATGTCATTACACACATTATTAAAAATGCATATAGGCACCCTTAAATTAAGCTAGATTTCTGGTGACTACATTTATGCTTTTGGCAGTATTGCAGAAATGGCTTGCCATTGTCTCTTCCAGTTTCTGTTTCCATCTTCCCAGACTACTCTGCAGCTCTGAGATATCGAGGTCAGTCCTTTTCAACCTTGTCATCTTGAAGATATTCAGACTTCAACTCCCAGAATTCCCCAGCCAGCATGCTGGCTGGGGAATTCTGGAAGATGAAGCACATACATCTTCAAGCTGTCAAGTTGAAAAACACTAAGTGGTCTCCCATCCAAATCCTCACTGGGGCTGATTGTCAATTCTGAAGCGAATCTGACTGAAGCCATCTTCTGCTGCCTCCTATTTGCCACAAACCCGTAAGGGGGAGGAGGGACATGTTAACCTAGCTAGTAGTCAAAACAAAAGGCTTTCTTGTGGGAACCAAGGTCAAATACACAGGGGGCAGTTGAAGGAGGAGGAAACTTAACCAAGGAGCCTGCCAAATGTCCTGAGTGGAGAATGTGACCTGTGACAATAGAGGAGGGTATCAAATGCTATTTCAATTATTTCATTACTGGGGAAAACTTTTCAGAGTTGGTTTTCACTGACTGCAACGATTTAATGCATCCAATAAACATGTTCTTTGAGGAATCTACCTGCCTCGGAGTTCTGTTTTTGATGGGTGTATTACTTGGAACACTGACACTGATATTACTTAATTTCTGAGACCAAGCAATGTGTCCTTTGAGTGAAGCCCAACTTCTGTGTTGTTTTCTTGACAACAATATAGAAGAAAACATCATTTTCTTCTTCTGCAATCTTTCAGATATAGATAACTGTCCAGGAATCCTCTTAAATAAGCAGGATTATTCTTCGCTTCTGAGAGTCACTAAAGGCGATTATGTTTTGTCACTTGCTGAAGCATAGCCAAAAAAAGTCGCCTCTAATCTTCCTCCACCAACAACTTGTTCTGTGACTATTCAAAGTTACAAAAATACTGAAAAGGAGACTTAGGACCGGTTCTCCAAGTTACAGCCATCGCAACATCGACCTATTAGATCGCACAGATTAGGCCTCCTCCGAGTTCCATCCGCCAGTCAGTGCCAACTGGCGCCTACACGGAGGAGAGCCTTCTCAGTAGCAGCTCCGACCCTTTGGAACCATCTCCCC